TTTACTAGTCAAACGTTCAATATAAGAATAACTTTGATTTTTTCGATCCTAGTAAATGCAATCCATCTGTAAATCTTTTCAATTAATTCAATCCATCTGGTCTTTTCTTTACTTATTCTACTTATAAGTTCTTATAACTTCCGTTATGATGGTAGGAATGATGTTTTAGCGTGATTTGTCCGATGACCTCATTATATTGGCGCGTGAATCGCACCACACCCGAGGTGGTGTATGGCATGTGGCGCCCTATCTCAAGCGCATGGTTGCTGGTTCGAAACCAGATCAATATACTCTCAGGTCAACCAAGCCCTCCATCCCTTAAGGGTCCGCTAATTGCAACCAGACCTGTCTGGGAGGATTGGGAGGATGAAAGCACTGGCTTGTCCATCGGCTAGCCAACGCAACTCATTGTATAGGCCACATACACACTCAACGCTACGATTCTGAATGGATCCCTCAGACGAGTTTGATCGAAGGCGAAAGATTTTGGGAACTTTTATTCTTCCGAACTGGTAATAGTACATGCAGAGGAACTCTAAGTTAGGAAAAATCAGGCTCTAGGTTATTTGACTTTCAGTTGCCTCGGAACAAATCGTCCCTACTTACAATTTTGGAGTTAAAGGGAAACAAAAATACCAACAAAAGTTATGAGTAGATAACTTCGAGCAGACACGCTCAAGGCAGTTCATGAGAAGTTTGGATTGGTCCGTTTCAACTCGAACTTCATTTTTTCAGAGGAGGAGTGGAAATGATGCGACGATTGGCAAGTAAATACCTCGCCCTTAGGCAGCTATACCTCGAGTGCGCTCTAAAACCAGATGTCCAAGGATGCCATTACAGTAGGTTTTTCTGTAAAACTTTGGAAACCCGACAAGAAATTGACGTTCAAATCGATCCTCCATGAAGCGACATGACAGGAATCGGATTACCCGAATAACTTCCCATTCACTGTCTCCTAACGTTTTGTGCCCAGTCAGCTTGATGGCTCGACCTTAGAGAGAATGAGGCAAAAGTTGTTGCAGCTCTGGTAGAACGATGCGGAATGACTACGCAAAAGGACGAGATTAACGAGGCATGCAGACAAGTCGAGCAGCTTTTCGGTGGAAGAACCGATGCTGCCAGAAGATGCTTGGAAGTGGTCGCTCAGCGGTATGTCCCTTCCGAATTGCTTATCTTAATCAGTCTCAGACTTCCTTCCTTTTAGGACAGCAGTCTCTTCGGAGAAGTACGCCAACGTAGTGCTGTGTTCCGATTCGCTTGTGGCAGCCGTTGCTCAGCTACTACTAGCTGGCCTTGCTCCAGCAGTACCCATTGAGAACATATACAGTGCCAGCAAAGCAGGACGGGTGGGTCATTCAAATATTACATCAAAATACATAAAATTATTTTATTAAAGCACACTGTTACCTTCAGGAAGCCGTCCTGGACCGAATTCAGAACCGCTTTGGTAAGAAGTGTAGCTACGTGGTAATTACGTCCAGCGCTGAAACAAACAACCTCGCACGAAAGGTTTTACGCTTCTATCTTACCAGTTGTCTTCAGAGTCCAACAATGCCCATTTCAGGAGTCGATTCCCGTGTGGCCGATCGTGACCACAGACGATTTCGAGAAGCTCTACACTGCGCAATCCAACTATTTGCTCGGAAGTCTCTGAGCCTGGCAATGGCTTGCTTGTCCAAAAATCGCGCCATTTGGCATCGCTCCGAGTGCAGTTTATATGAGATTAGTCATTTTGTTTATTATAATTATTCGACGTGATCTGTCCAATTTGTTGCCAAACCATTTTTTGTCATTGTCATCATTTATTATCGTTGTCTACATTTGTCCGAAGCATCATTTGTTGTGAGTTCTATTCTGCTCAAATGAAGTCTTAGCTATTAATTGGAATCGCTGGTCTTACACGTATACTATGGTGTTTCAAGCAGAAAAGCCGTCATGCATATTCGAGATGTACGTAAACAGCTTTGTTAGTTTCATACAAGCCAAATAGAGTCAACCCATCTTCAGATTCGCAAAACTGACTATCACGACTGAAGGATAATTTCTTCTAGCGTTGATCAATTTTGTCTGAAAGATGCGCCCCGCATCGGGCTTCCATTCAGAATCGTAGTGGCGTATTGAATGAGGGTGTAGCTTCTACAATGGATTGCGATTGGCAACCGATGTACAAAGTAGAGCTTTTATACTCCCAGACGAGTCTAGTACCAATTAACCGACCGCGGAGCAATGGAAGGCCTCGTTGGCCTGAGCGTAGATCGATATGGGGTTCGAACCTGTGGCCATGCGCATGTCATAATGCGCCACTTGTCACTACACCAACACCACCCCAGAACAGACTATGGTATCGTAATTGGCCAGATAAGTTAAAGGATACTTCTGATCTACACCAGTCATTTTAGAACGTACTTTCACAGGGTGAAATAAGTGCAGTACTATACTGTCTTCTTTCTAGTCTTGGTTGCGAGGTACCAGTTGGCAGTGACACTGAGTACCGCCATCATTCCCTCTTGTATTCGGGCTCACTAGCAAGAAGAAAACCAGTGGACTGTTTGCCGCATCCTCGTGCTAATCCCGTCTGTAACTGAGCGTTTACAGATTCCGCTGAAGCTTTGTGAACTCAGTTCAGCAGCAGTAAACTGAACGTCATGCTAACAGGCATGTCTTCTAGTTTTATCTCATTTGGTGCTCAAACACATGCAACGACGCGAAACTCACATTTTGGCTTAGTAAAATCTTGTTATTGCCAAAAAGATTCCGACTCGTAGTGCATAATTAGTCGTGGAAACTTTGTAACCACTTCATAAAGTCCCACCATGCTCCTCGAAAACTAACTAGTTATTACTTTGCAAACAATTAGATTTACGGCTAACCTCACCATCAGAGTTTCTATGTATGTGGCTGAAGGCAAATGTTTTCTACAGTTGACGAAGAACTTTCAATAAACAGTATAACTGAACGCCTCAAAACCGATTCGGGGAGGTATCCCATCTGGGAATCGTGGGTAGCCAGTGTTGCACCAATATAGCACCTTACCTTGAAGGCACAATTTAGGATAAAAATGTTTTCTTAGATTTCCCTATAATTTGAATTCAGGGCTTCCCATCATACCATACATGCCGTTATAAGCTCGAAAAGCTTCCTGTATAGGGCACAATAAAGAGCCAGAGATTGTATCGAGTGAATGCCACAATCATAATGGACGAATTTCATCGGCTTTGTAGAGGCTGCACTATCTCAAGAGACTTCCATGTCCGAGGTTCAAACAACTTGTCATAACCATGGCAACAGTGAAAGGCAGTTTCGGACAATTCGGCTTGATGCAGTCATCTCTTTGAGCAATGGGAGCAAGTTAAATCTCGTCCAAATACCCCTCCCGTGTTATTCCCGCTATGGCAATCATCCGACCTCTTTTTCCCCTACTTTTGAGGGGCCTCATTTTTCTCGAAATTGGCGGATTTTCTCGCTTCCCTTCACTACCGATGACTTATTCCCAAGCTGTATTTCCTCTTTTTGAATAAAAAGAGGTACCTCGAAATTATCGTGAGCTCTACCTTTAAGCTGCTTTGAAATCCTGAATTTTGAAACTTGCCAGTTCATTCGGTCCAAAAAACTGCTTGTAGGGCAGACCACGCCGTGCATTCATTCATTAAGGAACTTAGTTATGACTGATGAGAAGTTCACATATTTTCCCTCTAAAGATTAAATGTCCTGCTGAACTTCACTTACTTCCCAAGATGTAATGAGGCACATTCACAAACTCAGTCATGCCGGATGTCGCTTTATTCGAAATTGAAAACACGCGTGATTACCGATTGAACTAGATTAGAAGAAAAAGGATCACCAAACAATGAGGAGCAGGAGAATAAATGAAAAACACGGACCACAAATAGAGCTGTATCGTGATGGTTGAAAATAAGAAACAGCTACAAAGCGACCGGAGAATCGAATAACACAGCCGGAATGGAATGTGATGTGCTATTATGATTCACCCAGACGTTCCTTAACACTAAAAGTACTTGGTATCGCGTCCTGTCTGAGCTTTGCTAGCGCCGTCGGCTGACAAATTAAACCCCCCTGGATTACGGTACTCAACCTCTAACAGCGACGGTGCTTGTCGCTGCTCGAGAGGTGGTGGCCCAGATCGTTCAACCGAGAAGGTGACGACGGTGCAGTGGCTGCAGAAGACTCAACCAATGTAGAAGAACACGAACGCACTACGCCGTACGTTGTGGTTTGGCTTGCGCTGCACGACGCTAACGTCCGCACGATGGAGAGCAGTCGAACGGGGAACAGAGAGAGCCCCGCGATAGACGCGAAGTCGTTTGTTCGCGGCGGCCAGCCATAGAAACGGCAGAAACGCACTCATTGCGAATCGCCATGAGAAACCTGAAAAAATTACCTTAAATAACGGAAATAACGCATGAAATTCTTTCAAAAAAAGAGCGTTCCTACAAAACAACATGACAACTATGACTGTCCAGAAAAATTAGTACTGCATTGTTCTGAAAGGTCAAGTTGATTGAAAACAGGATTAAAACAATGTGAGAGAACGCAATACTCGCTCTAGCGTACTCTATTCAGCAATCCTCTCAAAGGAACTGCAAATATTCGAAAGTTTTCCCGAACAAGTTTGCGGCGCTCATCTCAACATTACAGGATAGCTGAAAAAAGTTGACGCGACGTTTGATGCTGACATCATCCCAACGATAGGACATTAGGTCAGTCATTTTTTAGGACTCCCGAACACCCAAGGACCAAGTGGGGCTGAATCACTTGGCTTCTGCGTAAACTTCACCCAATCTGAGAATTTTTTTCCTTGAGGTTTCTGCATATATGAGCCATTATCATTTTTATGTCGATACAGCTTTTCCAGCCGCCCCGCTGGTTCATGAACGTAATATGAATTACCGGTTTCAACTCCGTCCATCTCGGGGCTTCTTATGTACGCAAGTCGATTTTCTTTTGTTGAATTTAACACGCTTATTTTGATGTTTTGTTTGCTGCTATTATTTTGCCGCAGGATGCAGAGCAAGATAAAAGACTTCAAGGGTTGGTGAGTTATGGACAAGTCTTCGGTCCCGGACGGGACTTGAACCCGTATCAGAGGGGGAACGAGCGATTACGCGTGACCTCACCAAATTCACTCGCGCGGGTCGCACGCGACACGCCGCGCAACAAACTACGTCGCGCTTGCACTCCATGGCTCTGGTGCAAGTGGTGCAAATCTCTTTACCATGACAGTGAAGTCGCTTCGAGATTAAGGATATACTTCATAGGCCCACAAGTTACTTGTTGAATGTTCCAATATTCACATAATTGTCTGTTGTTTGCCCATCTGGGATGGACTATTACTTCTCAGAAGATATTATTATTAGATGATATAGGTATTACATTTGGGGAGGAATTTACTTCGTGAGAAATCTTTGATTTGGATGCTTCGAACGCTCACATTGTTTTAATGCAGATTTACGAACAGAGCAGTACCGAAAAATGGACCACAGTGCTATATGGTAAAGCTGAACATAACCTACCATTACACACATCCCAAGATCACGCGTGATGTCACACCCAAGCAGTCCAACCCTCGTACATCAGAGAGAGGAGATTGACGTTCGTTGCTTGGCTGATAAGTATATCCACCTAAACACCGCACGTTACTCTATTCTGAACAGGAATGAAGAAAAAAATTTGGCAAAGAAAAAGCTTTCCATATGAAAAGATATAAGGGAACTGACTAAAGGACCTTTTAACTCAAAGTAATTGTAGAATTAGACACAATAACCAGATTTCAAAACGAGAAAAAGCTCACAATCATACCTGTTCAACTGGACTGACAACTTTTTGCAAGTCAGATGAATCAGTTCGGCCTTCAAGTCTTGCTCGGACTCTTCTCACGACATTATTCGCATGAGCATTTTGTTCTTGCTGTTGTTTGTGACGGGGGCGAGGATCTAGAATTTGTCACGATAGTACAGCATAATTAGACTCAAGAAAAACTGCCTTGTTACCTTCAAACCCAGGAGGCAGCTCAGGAGTCTCGCTTTTTGGTGAATTTCTTGAGTCGGCCGTCGGTGATGACAGTCGAGCAGACGGCGCAGATTCATTCAAGGACAGGAGGCCAAGATATATACTTAAATGAGATGGTTAACAATTTGTAAATCCATAATTTTCAAGTGTTGGGTTAATCCAGAGCCAAAAATCCGCTCACTCGCAAATGTTGTTCTGTACAACCGCGAAATGACGAAGACAGGCATTTAGATCGAGCATGTCTGCGTCCAGAAGTTGATGTGCTTTTACTAGCGGTTCAGAGAAACGTTCGCGATATGCACGAATGTATGCCGCAAAACGTTCGTCACACTACAAAGCAGAGGATTCAAAATAAGGCGCAAAAAGTTGTCTTCAAAGTATGTCGAACGATAATAACCGGGTAGAAATAGCAATACATGAGTGTGGCTTATCCTATATCTTACCGTAGCCAACGCTTTAAGAAGCGGACGAAAATCTTTCATTATGTGATGATGACGAGCAATTGAGGCTTTCAGACGACGACCAGCTTCCACACGTTCCTGTGATACAATAGGAAAGAATGCCAATTTTTTCAAAAAAAATCTCATCCATAACCTATCAGAATTAGGGCTCGAGCGTAAGAGACTTTATACCTGGCCCAGGAGTTCTCTGTTGTTCCACGCATTCTTCTCGGAAGTATTGTTCTCACGCTGAAGCACATCGGCAACGCTTGCCAGGGCAGACTGCAGTTCCGTGCTGTAGTAAAAGAACGATGAATAAGGTACTCGATGCAAAGAAAAATCAGCAGAAAAAAATGGCAAAAAAAAAGATGATGGAAGTCAATCTTACAAATTCTTTGTCCACAGTGAAGTATTCTCCCGTATTCGCACACCAAACATCTCCCGTGCAACTGGTTTCGCCTCGATTGCTCTCGAATCCGTGCCTTCAATGTGAAATTATGCCCAGAGTATGTAGCACAAAAGCATACACAATTTTAAAAAAGGCAAAAATACCGTATACAGCCAAAGTGACAGCCACTCCAACTGCAGCTGAAGACGCAGTCAGATGATCAGAAACTGCCCAATCAACAAGTGGATCGTATACGAATGCGTCCAACATAGTCAGCAGTACCTCACGACCTTCTCGTAATGTTGACAACACTTGCGAACACGATTCACGAAATACTCCCTGCAAAACAAAACGCCTCCAATATGGTCATTTCAGCTTCGTCTATGACAAACGAACTTACTTCAACTTGCGTAGGTCCAAGAGCATGAAGAATATTCTGAGTGAGGCGGAATGGAACGGTTTCTGGCACTCGAAGATGACGGCCCTAAAAATTCAAGTATATTAAGGGCAACACTTTCTCATCGTTAGTCAAGTGTTCATTCACAGAAACGCAAAATTGTCTTTCAGTTTGCGACATTTTAGAAACTGGAAGACAATAATTTGTTGTCAAATACATGGTGCTGATCTACGGGAACAATGTCGGTGCTAGGGAAGCCACTGAGGTATTTGTGTAAGGCATAGGAACCCATGCAGTAATTACATGAAGAAGTGCATAAACATAACTTAATATCTTCCACACACGGAAGACGTGACATTTGCCGTACCCGACTCATTGGTGGTGTCCCTACAAAATCACCTCACTATCCCGACGCTGAGCAAATGCTCGGCAACTGGGAGTCGAGTCGACGTAAAAAGCCCGATGTTGGTGTATAGTCTCTTTATAGTGTGGTGGCGTGGATGCAGCTGGTGCGTCGTATGTTATAGGTTACATTCAAAGTTTCGAGAGCCTTCAGATATCCGAGAATTCGTCGAAAAAACGAGCAGAATAAATATTTCCCCCAAAAAACCTGTTTGACACAGAAGCATAAACACTTGCATGTTGGGTCAATTGTTCCTAACGCGAGAGATCTCGGTGATAGCTGTCTTAAGGACAACAAAAAGCGGCGAAAGACGAGCGATCAAAAACATGAAAGATGTTACGATGAAAACGCCCACCTTGTCAAAACAAATGTTGTAGTCAATGTGAACAACATCCCCTCGATCGAGGTTGACCAGCACGTTATCCAGATGCCGGTCTCCGAGACCCAGAATGGCTCCGATTATTGACATCACCGCTGTCGAGCGTGCATAACGACATACCACTCGCCACCATGTATCACAACTTCCAGCGCGTATCCACAACTCACTGCAAGCAACAACTACTGACCAATGTTTATGTAAACAAACAATAAACAATCAAATTCTTCTACCGGCTGATGAGATCTTTGGGTGTTTCTTTCACCAATGAGTTGAAAACTTCTCTTAGTAAATCATGAGGCCATTTCGAACGATCTGCGATTATTGCTGCTTCCACATTCTTGAAAAAAGTGATAGAGCAAAATTGGACTCTGAGCCTGAACAAACAAGAAAACGGGCACAACTTACATTATCTGCAAAAACACCACGCATCTTCTTCTGGAACAGATCGGTTGGCCTGTCGATGTCGAGGGCCGCTGTTGTTGCTGGGAGACCATTCTTTCGCTCCATGGAATGTTTAATCTGGGCCTAAACTGAGTGAATGGAATGCTGAACTGTATAACTGAAAACTAGTTTCAAACCTGTCTGAGCTGCCATTTTCTGTAGATGTGGAACATCGGTGTTGCACCACCAACCCATTGAATGAGACCTGATCGTGTTCCCAGAGGAGTCACAGCGTAGTGACGAGCACAGTATGGGGGCCAGCTTCTACAATGAACGACTAATTCAGGAAAACAGACATAACATTTCATAGCAAGCAATACTGCGAAGAAGAAACACAGAGTAAGTGGGAATTGTGTCTTACCGACTTGAAGAACTACCAGCAAGCATGAGATTACAAATATGCAATAATTGCATGATCCGCTCATCTAAGTGGAGGTCTTCCTGACCTTTGAATAGGAACATATGCCTGAAATATAACTTGGAAATTGACTTTTATAGAGTTCAATTGAGTCTTATCACTCACTCTTTTCCTTCGCTTCCAATGAATGCAATCTTTTTCGGCCTGGTCTTCGTCGGCAAAACAAGCGCGTTTTTGAGGACACGGTCAATTGTCACCACCTCACTGAATTCGATGTTCTCCTGACCAGGAATCGGAATATTGCTCTTGGATAGCTGAAACTTTGACCATTTAATTCAATTACAATTTCACCACCCTGATAGCGTAGCTTACGCGGACCTCCACTCCTCCCCTTGACGGAGCCAGAATGATTTTTTCTATGAAGAGTCATGAACCTATTGTTATAAAATTTCTAAAAGATAATGTTTGGATTCACGCTGCCGCCAAAATTTGATATTCAGGGTCCTACAGGAAGAGAGACCGACATACGAAATGGGCATACAACTGGTATTCAATATTTGATGAAGACCGCGTCTATGATTCCCCATTCCGTTGCTTTTGAACTTGACAACAGGGACTTCATTTTCCCATATTGGGACATCATAACTTATTGAGCCGCAAAAGTTGATGCATAATAGTCGTTCTAATAGTAGTAAGAAATAACCCATTCACATACTCATACCATGTACATACATAAAGATCCATATCAACATAGCCACTCATACATGGACATGAAGAAGCACACCTACATACACTTAGCGAACATGTAAAGTAGGATATATCCACAAAAAACCTACCTCGCTTAGAATGGGAGATATCTCAGGCATCTGCAAGGAATGGCCACCACGACGAGAATTTTTCTGCAGAAGTATTCCCAACATCTGGAAAACGGTTTATGGTAATGTAACATAGGAAAAGACGCATTAGTTTCACTAACATGTTTGAAAGGTGCCCATGACTTCTCCGGACTTTTTCTGTTGGCGCGAGATTGTTCGAATACCGACTGCAGCTTCTCACCATACAATTGCACGAAAGCTCGTTCGTTTTGCGTAGTAGGTTCTCGAAGGCAAGTTCGCTCGTAGAGATCGTCGAGGATTCGGTAAACCTGGGGAGAACAGCTTAAGGGAATGAACTGAGAGTATACCCTCATAATTATTCATACTCACAGAAGAAGTGATCAACCGCGACTTCTCCGCAATGATATCCAGACGAGTTTTGTCATCCAGATGAGCAGCATTCACGGTCTTCTCACTTTCTGCTCGGATCTGTTCCAAACGTTTTTCCATTTCGTGATCCAAATTGGCCAGCACAAAAGTCCATCTGAAATGTGCGCTTTGTGGTCCGTACTTTAGATCATGGCCCTCTTCGTTCCATCTTTCAAAGCAAACCCAGACAATCTTTCTGCCAGCTCTACTTTCATTGTTTTTCTCAATTAAGAGCGGAAGCATAAGCTTTCCGATGGACAATTTTGATTCCAGTTTTTGATCCCTCCCTTGTACAAGTGAACGATGGAACGCAATGACTAGCAAGAAAAAAGAGCGATTAGGACGCCACCTACTATGTGGCTGATTTTTGATAACTCGAAAGAAACACTGATAAGATCTAATTACAAACCATCTTACCTCTCCTCGTTGAGCAAATTGATTCTTTGCAGCTCATTAACGAATTCTCTAACATCCTTTACAAGATCAGGATAGTGATCTTCGAGAACAGATACAAGCACGCGACAACCTTCGAACATCAAACAACGTTCCTTAACGTAATCCTTGTCATCATAGATACTTTCAAAAGCATGTTCATAAAAGAGATCACTGACCTTGTTGCTGCCCTCGTCATCATCCTTCTCAATTGTTTCGATCACATCATCGTCATTCGCTACTAACATGCTAGATGATGCCCCAGCAACTGCTTGAAATACTACAGCATGTGGAGCAGAGTAGCCTTAAAAAGGGAACATAAGTGAAAGTGAGCATGAACAGTGAACAACAGCGTGAAAACAGGCATAGAACACATACAAAGCCTTGACAAGAGCCCTAGCAGCGACTCTCGAACCTCCTTTACCGGATGTGATAATCGAGCAAACAGCTGCGGAAGGATGTCTGAAGTATACCATAATTTAAATCGAGCACATTTGATCTGTTAAACGAGAAAGGTATCATTTCTCAAACCTTTCCAGAGATGCTCATTCGTGATTCGTAGACCTTGGTCGATTACTTCGTGGAGGAAATCAGCATGCTTCGCAAGAAGTCCGAGTATGCGTAACGTTGCCGAAACACTGCCAATAGTACCCTGAACCCTCAGCATATATGTAAGTAGAGGTGAACTCTGCAAAAACTTCAGAAATGCAGGAAGAAGTCAGTCAGGAAGTTCCGAAAAAAATTAGAAAAAGTTTGGACTTTGTGATATTTTTTGACAGATACTTCTAGAAAAACCTAACACTTTGATCACGAGCTTCACTGAGCCAGTCGGAGCAGAAGTTACTCGCATTGAAGACAAAAATAAAGGATAAATAAAGAATATGTATTACAGGTGCTTCTGGGTAAATTGAGCAGATTGACTCGAGAGCAAAATAGACCAGATTAGGAGGGGAGAACCTAATTTTAAGCGCTATGATTTGACGGAGTTCCTCTCGTGAAAATCGATGTGCATAGGCATTACAAAGGACACGATCAAGGTTGTTTCAGAAAAGCAAGTAGGTGAAATAAGAAGGGTAAGAAGGGGATAAAAACGAAAAAGCGAAAAAAAGAATTGTAGCCACGAAGGATCTACATTTGTATGGCTTAATTGAAAGTAAAATAATTCACCGAAAGTCAACGACTTCTTGAACCCACCTTATTTGCTTTCATCGTCTTTCCTCCAAGTTGCGAAATATAGGAGAAGTACGAAGAAACTGCCAAATTGTAAAAGACAGACCGGCGTTGACGTATTTGCGCCCAAAGACTCGTAAAATGGCTATCACCTGATAGTAAACTGAAAAAATTCGAATGTAATTAATTTATTATAAAATGAGTGAATGCTGTGTAAACCTTTCAGCTATGACCAGATCGTTCGGCATCGCTGCGACAACGCTTTCTCTCAGGTGTGCGACTGAGCTGGCCGTGTTCAGAGCTTTCCACAATCCATCCAGAGCCGTTTCCGACACGTTTTCCCCAAG